TTGTGATACGTAGAGCCTGTGGTTATGATGAGAGCCAAGTTTATTAAATATATTTCAGAGGTCGTTTATGCAGGATTACTATAGAGAAATGAGGTAGGATGTTAATTTACAGAACACTGACTTCCCTACACTAACCTCTTCATAGATCCTCACAGAGTGCCCTAAATTCAAACCAGTGTAATCCATCCACTAAATGGCATGTGGTGCAACATCCACACTGCCAGAGACTTGGGCACCGGTGCATGAAGAAGAGATCTTGGGTCAAAAGAATGAAAAATTGTCCAAATTTCTGCTGCTTGAGACTGACCCCTGGGCACCACAGCGTGCAGCACTTTGCCCTAAACTTCCTCGACCTTCCCACAGAGCTCCCTATGGCTCTGCAGTATTAATAGGAACAGTAAGGTGGGTTTTTTTAAGCTCAGAGCAAAGCAATAGTAGCAGGGCTGCAGTCATACAAACATTTAGATCGGTATAAATTCACACTTCAGCCTCCTGACTTCCATGTTCACCATGCAAACCTATTTTCATCCTTTTTTTAAGCTGACATTTGTAGAATATATAAACATAAACAAACCAAGACGACCTTGGACGAGCATCCCTCTTGCTATTTCAGTCTCCTTTCTATCATTCATTTAATCTATTATACTGTGAATATCTTCAAAACAAAACATTCACCTTGTCTTCCTGGTAGACACTAATTTAATCCCGGAATATAAAGTTCCTAATAATTAGCAAAAAAAAAATTCAGCAACCATCTTGATAATATCTTAAGAATGTACTAAATAAGCATTTATTCTGGTTAGCATTGCAATTGCCTTGAAATCTGTCGTTTAAGAATTTTAGTCTTTTGGTTCTTCAGGCAACTCTTTAGCTGCAAGTCTCCCTGCAGACACTCTTTTTCAAGACTGCATTGTCCCCCATTTCTCTTTATTACTACCCCTGAAAGAGGATGAAAGCAGAGCATTAGCCCTTAGAATACTATTTTTAATTTTCCCAATAAAGCTCTTGGGAATGCACTGCTCAGGAGCCATTGCTTAACGTAGGACCATCACTTACCATTCCTGATTCACATTTGGAATGAGCTGCTGCCTAAAGTACCCTAAAAATAGTATTTTCCACGGTGATTGGTAGAGGTACAATGCCAACAGGGTGTCGTACTGAACTGCTGTAATCATCCATCCACCAGTAAGACCACAGCTGTGTATCCATTACACTCGTGCTCACCAGCTCATCAAAACCAAACAGGCAACTTAGAAACTTTCAAATCCATCTGCAATGGTCGAACTAACCCCGCTGCAAGATTTGAACTGTAAACCTGATTCTCTCTCTTTGGTGTTTTTATGACATCTGAACTGTTTTATCTGTGCCTGCATGCTGAACTTTCCCACAGCATTTGAAGGACAAAAACATAGGCTACACATTAATAACCTGTCACCTTTGTAGTGTGATTTGGGTGGCTACAAAAACACACCACGTGTGTCCCATTGAAGGCACGACAGCAGTTTCAGGATGGTAATATATGCACAGCTAGTTAGAGCTTTACTCCCATCTTTCCATGTTCCAAATCAGACTATTTAAACACCAAACCACCAAACCAAAACAAACAAACAAACAAACAAACAAAAAAACCAAACAAAACAGCCCACAAACAACTCAGGAGTTGCCTGGCAAATGAAAATGATCTGGCACAGGAACCAATCTAACCATGTCCATGTTTGAGATAATGCTTTCCAAATATAGCTTTTCATATTCCAGACTGAAGTCCAGTTACTTTTTCCACACTGTTCGTGTTATTTTTATTCTATAAAACTCAGAGGGGGGGGGAAAAGAAGTATATGAAACTCGCCCTGAAATAACTGAAAAATAAATAAAGAAATCTCAAATACATTTTTATATCTGTCAAGCAAAGCCAATTAAAGTATCCCTGTGGCGAACACAGCTTTGAAGTGTGAGTTTTCTCCTGGATTGCACTGTGAGCTGCCTTCTCAGAATGATTCATCATAATCCTCATTACTCCCAGCTTCCAGTTTCCTTGTGCTTGGCTCAGTTATCCCAGCAAATGACCACTCATTTGCAAATAGTGCAAGTTATACATTGCCATAAACAGACCATTTGTGAGTTTCCCAAACTCTAAGAGGCCTCCCAAATCAAAGGATGCTTCCTAGAGCAGTAAAAGTCTATTTTTAACTCCACTTTGGCTTTTATAAAATAAACTACTTTTTTTATCTAGTTTTATTAGAGCCAGTATCTTGTACTTCGGATTCTACAGCATTCTTCCAAATAAATATTATTTTTTTTTATTTTAGATTTTAATAGTTATTTTATTTTTAAATTTATTTTTAATTTATTTTATTGCAATTTATTATTGTATGTTATTTATTTATGATTTTATTTTCATTTTTATTCCATTAATTTTATTTTTATTATTTTATTTTATTTTTAATTACATTTTATATTATTTTTATAATTATATATTTTTATTTTACTTTTAATTTTTATTTTATTTTATTTTTTATAGAAATAACAATAAGAAGTAAAATAAGAAAATACAAAACTTAAAACCAAAATAAAAAGAAAAACCAAACCATACTATAATATAACACATAAAAATAAAATAAACCCCACAAAAATAACAATAACAATAAAATAAATTCATTGTGATTGGAATGGATGATAGCATTACTACAAAGCACCACCCTTTAGCCTGAAAATAAAAACTATAAAGTTTCAGAGCTTGATGCCTCTTTAGCACACCAGGAAAGATTCATGCTTTTGATAAAGTTAGTAAATTGTTATTGCACCTTAAGAAAGATGTGATTATTTTATCTTCTTCCCGTCAAATTCAATACTCCTTTGTCCTTTCCACAGTTGGGAGAGTTTACAGAAAACTTAGTACTGCTTCATAATTAAACCATCACACATATCCCAAGAAACATCAGTTTCACTGAGTCTCAGAGAAAGTTGCAGGAAACTGGGAATAGCAGAGATTAAAAAAAGAGCTATAACACATGCAATTCTCCTTTATTATATTTCAAGGGGCATTTCTTAAGAAAAAAAAAAATCAATTTTCATAAACAGTTTGCATAAATGTACACAACCCAGAAGCCGCAGGGCGGGTCATTTCCCCGAGGAAGGGGGAGCTCCCCACGAGCCCCGCACGGAACGGGCACCGAGCGCTCCCCAGCGAGCCCCGCCAGCCCCGGGAGCCGAGCCGAGCCCCGACCCACCACCGCAGCCCCCCAGCCCCTCCCGCCCGACCCCGCACAGCTCCGGGGACTGCCGGTCCCGCAGCGTCCTCCGGGAACACCGGGAGAGACCGGGAATGGGGGATGGAGGGGATGGAGGGGGAGGATGGGAAGGATGGGAGGGGGGGAAGGGGGGGGGCGGGGAAAACCCGGACTGGATTTCTCCCGGAGTACGGAATGGGGGAAAACCCGGACTGGATTTATCCCGGAGTACGGAATGGAGGAAAACCCGGACTGGATTTTTCCCGGAGTACGGAATGGGGGAAAACCCGGACTGGATTTTTCCCGGAGTACGGAATGGAGGAAAACCCGGACTGGATTTTTCC